CGACGATATAGTATGAGCACAAGACTATTATCAAATGGAAACTATACAGTATACGATATCAAGCGAGTCAATGAATAAAGAATATGTAAAATACAATACGTGCAATAAGAACATTTACATTAATTTAAAATATAAAAATTAATAGACTACTAAAATTAAATACTAATTAATAATTATTTGTTTGTATACATTTATGTTTTGATGGAAAATGGCTGTAATGAAAATCAACTTTGATGCAATGTTGTAGAGTGGGTATTATAAACAGGAAAAGTTTGGAATGTCTATGATATTACAAAAGATATTTTTTTTCATATTTTTCCTTCACTCACTCCCAATTTCTGTACGTGTAGGAAGCATTAAACATAATTATTAGAGGGAAATCTCTCTAATAATGATGTTTGTTTAATGCTTCCTATACTCGATGCCTCAACTTATGACTGATGTCGATATAGGTTCCCCAGCTCATGCCTCGTATGCTAGTCCCGTCGACATTGCCATTCCATATGTAAGCGCATGCGCGCACGTCTGCATTATTCACCACAGATCGTGGCACTCGCATTATACCGCACCATAGATAAAAATATGTACCCACTATCGCTACTATCCGTAACACTCGCTATGCAACCGCATTAGGAATACCGGAAAAACTTACAATGTCGTACCTATTACATGACAAATTGCAGTACCTATACGCACTACCATAATTGTGCTTGCTATCCCTGTTCTTCTCATGATTATGGCCGCTTCATTACTTCTCAGAAACTCTCTTTTCTAATTAGGAAAGGTTACGCCTAGTTGTGGCTTGTGCCGCAAAGAATGTCACAGTTTCTAGATGTGTGCGCACTTGCCATTTGTTACTTTAATACGACGAGAGCTGGTTCTAAAGATTGAAAGCATAATTATATGGATTGATTAAAGCTATATCCCGAAGTCACTTGTCAGAGTCTTGTTTTACCTGTTTCTAAGCCAAAACGACTTTTAGTTAATCAATAACCAGTACTTGTAATGCGGTGTTCTTGATAAACATTTATAAATAAACTTTATAATTGACATTGTATTGAATTATTTTGAATTCGGAAAACTTATAAGGAGATTTCTTAATTACCATAGAATTATACTTGATTTCAAATTCAATACAAAAATTGGCATACACCTGCATAACATAGTGCCTACGGTCTACACGATTGCCCATACATAAAGTAAATATGCAGCTACCGGATCAAAGTAGGTATGACAGGCAGTTCTTTAGTTAACCACGCATCCCACTGTACCGCACCGTTAATATTAAATTGTCACTATATTTTTTTTCGTTTTTGAGTAATTTTGCCTTTTCTAACGAATAACAAAATACAACGAATAGCACTGAGTATAGGCACTTGATGTGTATGGCACTGGCCATTGTTCCTTTCAGATATAGGGGCAACAGGACCTTTCCGTTGCAACATAGGAGGGAGAGCATTGTCGCCGATAGGGAAGAAGTGGTCCCACTGCTAGCAATCTACTGTGTCAAATCAAAGTAAAAAAATCATTCAATCACGACATACGGTACTTATATCAATCTTTTTTTATAAAAATTATGTCTCTCTGTTTTTTTCCTGTTAATCTCTGAAACGGTTGGACCGATTTTGATGGGACTTTCACTCGCAGATAGGTTATTAGTCTACTTTTGTTTTAGAAATTTTATTTATTTTAACAAAAAGTAAAAATCCACGCGGACGAAATCGCAGGTTAATAGTATATGTATATATATATGGTCCGTTCTGGTCATTAGTTGACCCTCAGACCATACTTCCATATACTTCAACAAAAACATGTCTTCATCTTTTAGCGGAGTCATAAGATTTATGCAGGCTATGTCTACAGCATGCAAGTCACTTAATAATGACATTAAAGTGCACATTTATCCCCATCAAAACTAACAGTGAGCAGGTGCAGCCTAATAGTCCATTACATACAGATTTATGTTAGAAACAACATGAGATATAGACGAACCTCCCATATAGCTGCTAGCATTAACATATAAGTGGCTTTGATATTGGAAATGGTTACTTCGAAATAATACCACCTTAATAACAGTTTCTGAATAAAATTTTATATAAATATCAACTTCATTACTATTATATTAATTAATAATGAAACAAACAAAGTAGAAAACAAGTGTTTCTGAATATTTGTATAAAAAAAATAGTTGACCCTACAGACGCCCTCTCTTAAATATGAATGTTGAATTCATATTGGATTAATTAATAACAAATATTCGGTAATTTTTCTTAAAGTTTTAATTCAGAAAACCTTCTCCTGCTAATAACAAACAAACAAAAAAAGAATTAGAGCAATCGGTCCAGCCGTCTACGCGTGATGCCGTGACTAAAAGCAGCAGGGATTCATTTTTATTTATATATCAAATCAACTAATCCAAGTCAACTAAGTATGTCTATAAATACGTATTTAAGAAACTATAAAGCTTTCCATGAAGAATTTGGTCCAAATATAGGCCGATAAATATGTATTAACTAATGTAGTTTCTCATATACACTCAACATAATAAAATAACAAAATACCAGACCACTATTAAAAACCCAATGAGTAGTAGGTACCTATGGATCCCACATACCAATAATAAAATTTGTTTTAAAAACAGATAAAGCCATATCCGATAGTGATCTCCCGTACTTGCAGATAGATCCGCTGATTTTCTAATAAGCCATAAATAATTAATTAATTGTGTGAGTAACATACCACGATAATGAGCTGAGCAGTTGCGTGAATTGGCATACAAAAACACGTTGCCGCTACGACTGTGGAATTACAAAGTCGACGTTTTTCATAGCATGCTGCGGTAGGTGGGAATTAAGTACAGTCATGTACAACATTTTCAATCTATTAATTGTAGCCATATATCAAAGTCGCCGCATTTGTTTCTATTTCTCGGCTTATTTTTTCTAAATTACGCAATGGATTTTTACAGTTTTCAGTATCAATTCGAGAATACGGAAGTTATAATACATTCGAAATAATAACACAGGCTATATGATTTAGCGCTTTAGAACACAACTTTACTGGTTCGATTCCTCGCACGGTACACATTTGTATTTATGATTGTTTGTATCGGTCTGGATGCTTTGTAAGTATATTATGTATCTATTTAAGACAAAATTATTCTAAGTATTTATAACAGTTGTCTAGTAAGCACCCGTAACAAAAGCTCTACTTCACTTGGGACTAGATGGCGTTGTGTGAATTGTCCAAGGACATTATTCATCTTTTTTATTTTATTTATACAACCCCATCACTTATACAGTATCTGTAGCAAGTAGAAGTGGGTATTTAAATGATAATAATGATCATCATCATGATAATTGTTGATAGCACATACCGAAAACTTTTGTACACTGCTGATGTTTTAAAATAATAAAAAAATCTCATTCTTTATATTTATGTGTACTTACAAATCAATGTAGGTAAATCCGCACCATGAACACCGTGGATGTTGAAATTTATTACTGTATTTCAGAGTAAATTCAAGAAGTTTAGTATTTATTCGTATAATTAGTAAATCGCGTTGTATTTTTATTCCCGATATTTCGGCAGTGTTTCAACCGCCATGACCACGGGTAAACTCAGTTTAAATCATTAAAAATAAGACGTGGAATCCATTCTTTCGAAGTTCCCGTGATTTATAATGATATACAAAGATTATATTTACTGTAAATGTATTCGACTATAGATATATACTTCTACTTTATATAACGTAAATGCTGTAATTTTCTACTAAAAATATTATCCTGTATTTATAATTTCGGAATGTATTATTATTATTATACAATATATAGGTACTTGACACCGTAATATTCACTAATTGTAAAATTAAATACTTGTAACATGTAGATACTTAGAATACTTACAACAGAAGTTGAATGATTACCTGGCACACATCAGGCCTTTCCTGTGATAAGCTACATAACAATTCTATGAATCTGTACCATTGCAAAGTCTTGTTATTGCTACCTCTACAGATTGCCATCTGTAGAGCTAGCAATGATGATTTATTCGAATAAGTAGGTATATCCACATCGTTATTTATAATCTCGTTATATTTATCGCATAGTTACTTATGGAGAAGTACAAGTTCCGCTCCATAAACATATAACTAGCTATTGCCTGCGACCTCGTCTGTTTTTTTTTATATAAAAGATAGTCTGGCCGTACTTATGATACAATTTATCTCTATGCCAAATTTCAATAAGATCTATTCAGCATTTATTCGTGAAATGCTAACAAACAAAAATATCCATTTTATAATATTAGTATGGATATTAAATGAATTAGAAAGAAAGAATTAAATTAGAAATTAAATAAATTAATGGTGATAATGAATTTTGCACCCGCTTGCGCTATTGGTTTTCGCTGGCAGGGCACCAGTGGAAGATGAGCAGGTCCAGGTAGTTAGCCTATCGTGGCAAATTCACCAGGAATGGCGATCCTCCACAGTGTGTTTTTCTAGAAACATTTTGCCACGGTCAATCACATTGTGGAATCACCTTCCAGTAATGGTATTCTCGAACCGATTCCGGTATAGAAACCTTCAAGAAAAGATTCACCCGATAAAGAACTTGATTCGTAAGCTGTGTTTCGGTTGAAGGGTGAGAGAAGAGTATTGAAAGACTTGTGAGAGAAGAGAAGTGAGATATATGGCAATGGAATTAATTTATTAGTCTAATCGAAATAGCAATGTTTAAAACCATGGGCGTTACATGCTGACTTGATGTCTGCAGCGCTGTATATGTATAGGTATTTCAACGCGGCAGGGAGCCAGCCACCAGGCTTCTCTCCGATTGCATTAGTTTGCTTCCATTACTGGAGAGTTAGTCAGAAATAAAAATTGTCATATCATTTTTTTGTCACATTCGTCAAAATTGTATGATATGTTAAAGTGAGTATTAATTGGTAAGGACGCTCTCAAAGAACATAAAAGAAACTAAATTATAATAGTTGTATGATATATATTCGAATCTGAATTTGAATATCCATATTATTCATATTATTGTTCATTAATGACCAAGTTTATGTCTACATTGAATTGTCCCTTCTCCAAATTGCAGACTACTTGAGAACTCCATTTATCTGTACTGCCAACTTTGTGAGCTTTTTTCTGAAATAAAAGACGAATAAATCTTTACTCGCTGAATTTAGTGGCATGGTAACAAATTGTAACAAGAGACAATTTTATTATCACTTCAACTTACATATTGCCATTCAACAACATATATTACTATTACAAATAAGAATTTACTTGATTTTTATCGTAATATAAAGTATAGTATAGTAATATTAAGTCTGGTTGTAGACTCAATAACGGTCGAAATTTGAGTCAAGTTTCCGCTGCTTCCGAATGCTTGTAATCTCAAACAAGCTAATTCCAGCAGAATGAAACAAAATAATATAAATTAATTGTGCAATGAAATTTCCGCAAAAGCTCACCTAATTCGGTAAAATATAATGCATATACATAGACAACATCCAGGTAATCCGTCAGATTGTTTGCCATCCAGAACCATAATAAAACCAAGAACCTTACAACAAACTTACCAATATTTTAACAGCCTGTCTAGTGTGCATGTCCCATTGTACCGTCTCACCGACTGCTGGCCACTCGAGCGGGCCCGCACTCACCGGCTTTCCGCCAATCTTCCACGCGACCCATAGGACAAATCCGTTTATAGATTGCACTTCATCACAATCAGTATCCCTGAAAATAACATACAACATAATTCAACAAAATTCTAATACAAACAAACCTGACAAACCAAGAATTATTATTAAGTAAAGGACACGCCTGCTTATTCAAATACCCTAAGTTTATAAAAATCAAGTGACAAGCAACATCATGTCTGAGTGGTCAACTGTGTACGCCGAGAGAAATAATTATTTATCTCTATCATATTTCATAATACCTAGTACAAACAAATCAATGGAAACTTTATAAGAAGAAGCTTTGTTCCTCAGTCCTATTTTTTGTAAAGCATAATCACTATGACGTCACAATGTACGCTATTAATATGCTACTAATTAAAGCAATAATATTAATTGGTCGCGGGTACATATAACTCAGCTTTACTTAAGTCCGATGGTTGACAGTCTATCAGTCATTAAGTTCCCTGAATGCGACTAACATTCAGACGACCTCACATTGACACAACTTTATGGCAAACCAAATTTAATAAAAATTAAATTGAAATAGTATGGAATCTATTGCCCCAGCTGATGGAATGATGAATGTATCAGTTTAGCTGAACAGTTGAGTAACGACAGTGGATAATTTATGATTACTCACAGTAGTGGGTGTGTATCATTTGTAGCGAACGTCGACTCTAACACTCGCATATCAATTTCCAGAAGTTTCCGAGGTAGGCCCCGACTTTTGCAAGGATATTCCCAAAGAGGCTGTGGTTCAATATCCGCATCACTTATTATTCGTGAACTCTGTAACACATTGACACCATATGTAAACCCTCTATATTAGTTTTTAAGCTCTAATACCATGAGGTAGTGTTAAAAATTATTTTTCTCTCTCAAAGTTTATAGATCGTTCATAAAAAAACTATGAGTAAAATATAATACACAGACATATTACTGTTAGGGTTCAAGTCATTATTGGCGAAAAAATAGATAATTTAAAACATTAAGAGGTACTTTGATTATTATTGAATTAGTTGCGATAACATCCCCACGCCTCTTGGTATAAAAGGAGGGAAATTTTGTGACCGTGGCTCACACTCTGGTAACGACAGCGGAACGTGCCAGTTGTGTCTTTTAATAAGTGGAATTGTGATAGATATATATACTTAAATAAATAAGTAAAATAAATATTACATACATTTATTAATACCCGTAGTTATTAACCAACATTACATATGTTGTTCTAAATTATTTAAAAAGTAATTTCTAATCCTCTTAATACAAACCTCAACAAGATTATCAAATGTGGTCATATCAATATCCTCGCATTTATCCAATGGTATTCTTATCTTGTGTAAATCCTGAAATTCCACTGGCATCCCCCAAAACTCAAAGCTCTCAGGTATAACGGATACATCATTTCGTAACTTACTTCTGAGTTTGTACAAAATATATGCCAACTTCAAATTCTCCCAAGGTAATAGCGCATTACAGAAACTGGGATCGGCTATAACATTTGTAACCTCCATAACAATACTATCCTCTATGTTGGATATAATTGTAACATTACTTAAACTATTCTCACTAATATAGTCCGTCAAGAACCCAATATTCAGATTTAAACTTTCATAAATATATACATGTTTCGCGCCTATTTTTGCCGCTGCCAAACCCATAAAACTGCTTCCATTCAAATCTAAAACAACGGACTCCTTTCCAATATCCTGTCTCAATTGTGACAAGAATTTTTTACTTCGTCTGCCGTCATTTAAATATGACACATGCGTTCTCGATAATGCCATATGTGCGCCACATTCGCATATTGGTCTTTTATAATGTTTATGTTTTAATTTTTCATCTTCTAAATAAAACCATAGTGAGTATTCATCTTGGCAGGAGATCAAAGTGACTTCCACATCTTTCTGTAGAGTTAGTTCTTGCGGAAGGTAATAGACTGCTTGCATCCAATGATCTCGCCAAGGTATTGTATCCTGTGGTCTTTCAGACGCTGAATCAGCATCAGGATGAGTCCACCATGGTGCGCAGCTGAGACATATCTTGCCTGAAATGCAAAAAATAAAAATCTAAGAATAAAATTTAACATTACATATTATTTAATCATTGCATTATCTATAGCCTATAAGCATATAAATAAAGCGATGGTCTATCGGATTCCATGTTAAGTAAATTTTATTCATATTGCTATATTAATAAAATTTACTTACTTACTATATTGTATCAGACAAGTTCAATGAAGTCACAAGATATAACATGACCTCTGCATAATCTGAAATCTTGTAGAACAAAGAAGTCTTTGTTATTTAAAGGAGAGAATTAATTGAAAAAATCAGTAATGATAAATATAACAGAAATTTTATGTGGATTCAGTTAAGCAGTAACTATAATTTATATTTTTAATAATACTATCATAATCTTATATATAATTACCATTGCTACAGAACCGTACTATTTTTAAATGCATTACTTTTTATATTTCCACTAATATGCGTAATAGAATAGAATTAAAACCGTATATAACTTTGTGCTTACCTTCAGTATCCATATTCAGTTCCCACCACATAAAAACCATTTGTGCGCGCCCAGTATCTGTAACGACGAACTGTTGTTTGACTGTTCTCTTCATGTCTATCGGAGTACGCCCTGACCAATCGTAATAGAATACGGGAATTTGCTCGGAGAGCTCACGGAATGCTTGCCGCGGAAGCTGGGATAGCTGAATATCATGAACTGCAGCAGAACCCGCACAGTCTTTCATCTGAAATTCATTTAATAATAATAATTTACATTTATCCAGCTTACTTAGCATATCATAATACAATTAATGAAAAATTAATTAATTTAAAAACTAATGCTGATGGCTGTAAGGGCTTGCACTCAACGGTTGCGGTGGCTGTCTTTAAAACATATAATACATTATGTAACCACTATTGAAGTAGACATTTTAATATTTTCACAAAGTCTGTGTGTGTCTGTGTGAATGAAACAAAGATCAGAGATGCCTTTGTAGCTTCAGAAAAGCTACTTGAATAAAGGAAATTGAAGTACCTTTAATAAAATTATTTAATATAAGAAGGGATACTTTGACAAACTAGTCTATGTCTATCACTGAAATAACAGAGACAGAGGTACACCCAGTACTCTGTCTCTGTTATTTCAGTGATTGAACTAGTTTTTTTGTAAAAAAATAATATTTCTGTTTTAAAACAAATATTACTATTTAGGGTTTGTAACTCCTCATAAAAATTTCATATTTTTATGAGGAGTTACAAAGTTACAAACCCTAAATATACCTTTTGTGGTGTTCTCAAAATAATCTCCAATTCTTCATCAGCCAAATCATTAAGTTTGTTCCATTTCTGCATAATGGGACACTCAACTACTTGTACATAAATGACAGCAGAGTCAGGAACCACTATACAGTCCTTTTCAAGAAGATATTTATGTGCATGTGAAAATGTAGAAAGAGCACCTGTTTACCAAGAACAATTATATTTTCGTAGCACCAACTTAATTTAAATTATCAATAATGATAATTGCTTTAGTCAAATAGAATAGAAAATATCTTATTTAAATAAGCTAAAATTGAAGCACAATGAGTAGTCATTACTTTTATTTTAATCTACCACTCCGAAAGCTGTCTCATCATATAGAACATTACATCAAAACCAGTAAGTCCGAATCTTCTGGCATGTGTTTCTCTGCCCTTAAGAATAGGAATGCCACAGAGGTCATATGCTGCATTACCAGTAACTTAAATAAAGTATGAGACTATGTAAGATCTGTATGGAGGGACAGAAGTTATTAGTACTGAAATCTTTGACATCTTTATGTGCCACCTGAATCAAGTAAATAAAATCCCCTCTTAATAGACATTATATTTTAGATATCTTTAAATTATTTATAATATTTGGTAAATACAAAGGAATTAAAAAAATAATGAATGATAGAACTCAGATCTATCATTAATAATATCACATTAATAAAACTAATAACACATTATACTATATTACTGTATATATACAAATAATAGAAGGAATAGTATTCCATATTACCTTCTCCAATCAATTCAGTATCAAATACTTCTGTGACCAAAATATTAGCTTTTTCCTTCATATCCCCATTTTCACCAACAGTCATCTCAGTTGACCGTTTGGGTATAAGAGTAATTTTATCAGCTACTCCATTATTATGCAAAATTTGCTCACAACACTCAGCCATTGGTTTGAATGCTTCACATGCCGTGATAGAGTCGGCTCCACATCTAGCTGCCATGATTGATAGCAACCCTGTTCCAGTACCTGAAAAAGCAATAAATACTTATGTAATCCCCATTATAAACATTTTTATTTAAAAGTACCTAAGGCTGCGATTTCATACTCATATAACTTTTGATCTGTAAAATGTTTGGGAAAAACAAACCTAAAATTATAAATAGAGTTATCACAACACCTATGTGAAAACCACACTCAAATCAATTAAGCCCTGTTTGTAAACAATGGCAATGATAATAGCTATTATAGGGACAACATTTAACAATAAAAATATGAAATTACTAGAACTTGATAGAAATGTTACCAATTTTCATACAATTAGAGGAAAGATAAATAGAGTCTTTATTAACTAAAATACCTTATATATTTCTTATATAATATTTTGTTGTATTTCTGATACAACAAAATATTATATAAGAAATAAAGTTTTCTACAATTATTATTAGTAAATAAAAATTTAAGGAGGATGTAATTTCCACAAAATTAGCTATAACAAGAACATAAATTAATATTATTGAATTTTTTTATGTCTTCTCTTCTTTCTATTAATTTATCCCTTATAAGTACATATTTTTTTAATAATATATGGGAAAAGGAAGGAATTGTAACCAAATATTGTATTGCCCTTTGCCTTGCCCTTGCTCCTTGCAAGGGGATGGTATTATTAGTATTAAGAACTTATAGCCCTATTGTTAAAATGTGCGATGTAAGGTCGACTCCCATGTTTCCTCTGGGAAATCAGTGTTCTGGGAAATTCCTGAAATTACAAAACAATTGGAGCCTTCATAATAAAGGTTTACTTACCTATATCCAAGACATTAGCTTTTCTACCATCTTTATGCATTTTCTCTATAGCCAACTGTAAAGCTCTATAATACTTTTTGTTTCTTTCAGTGTCGTGCAACATATCGGCAAATGCACTCCGTGCGATCTCCTGGTGATAATCGTAATCTTCATGCTGAACATCCCACTCTGTACTACCCGTTATAGGGTTTCTCTTCTGTGTGAAGACTTGCATTCTAAATTGTGATTTAGTAAACGAACTTTTCACCCTAATAAAATTACACTTTTATAACACAAAATATAAAAACAAATACGGATGCTTTATTTACTTACAAATACTACACCTTAATTTAGTCGAACTGGGAAAAAATCTGCACAGTCTTAGACTAGATTTTATAATCATTAATAATATTATAATTAAACATAAATATGATATTACAAAATCAAATATTTCGAATTGCCGGTGCAACCTACTTTAGGCATTCATTGGCAGTTTTACTTTTATAGGTTATGTTTTTTTTTATATTAAGTAGTTTTAGGACCCTAGAAATTCCCTTTCAGCCAAATTTTCTTTTTTTTTAAGACAATCTTACAAGATGAACAACCTGAACATCCTTCTTTTTCCCAGTCAATTTTTTTAAGAAAATCCTATAAGAAAGTAACACTACAAGGTTTTGGAAATCATAAATATAAAGCCGCAATCCCAAGCATTTGCTGCAATGATGAAACAATTATAAACGAGTGTCTAGTTTTATAAAATAATCCTAATTCTCCCTAAATTATGTGCAACTTAGTGATTTTTAAGTATTGCTTGTGTATATCACAATTGCTTGCTATTGTAGTTTTGTTATTACATTTTCCAGCTCTTTTTATTCACTATGGTCACTTATTAAAATATTGTAATTAAAGTAATTTTTGTCGCAAAAACAGTCCTAAGTAAATGTCGTTAGTTATGTTTGTTTGTTTATATATATTTTACCAAACAAAATGCAGACTTTTAATGCATTATTTATTGGTGCCATATTGAATTTTAATGTTTAGCCAGCTTTTTAACATGATTTAAACCTTGGAGGTTTATAGTTATTTTAAAAGCCATATAATCTTTAATTGTCTGTTAATGAAGTTTGTCATCGATGTCATTTTATTATAAATCAAGATTTTTATTTAGTTTATCTACAGTGTCCCGAAACTGAATAAAATAAAATACATTTTTGTTAATGGCAGTTATGTCGTAGATGTCATTCGTTTCGTCTTTCATTACGACGTTTTGCTATCATGGCGGCCACCGTCGGTAGGATTTGTGGGGCACGTCTTTTGAAAAATTATGGCTTAGTTACTCCTCAGGTACTAAAAACTAGTATAAAGACTCAATTAAATACTAAATATTTTATTGCATTACCGCTAAAGTATCTTATATGTTAATAATTGAAGTAATACAAGTGGTTAATGTAGGGTCCAAATTGGGTGTATTTTCTCAATTTATTAATAAATTCGCCTGTTTATATGGCTTTCAAGTATACGAATTAAATGAGGGAAAGCAGAGAACTTGAGTAGTGTACCGGTGCATAAAAAATATTAATAGGCAAGTGATAACCTATCCTGCATTATGTAATAAGTACATAACAAATTTAATGGAGATCATACATTGCAGGTTTGTCAGCTGTCTACTAGTACTCAAGGATGGACAAGAAACAGAAAATTGGTAAGTACACAAGTACACACATGTTTATTTGAACCAACTTTTGCAACTACTTGTTCTATTTTTTTTCTTTCTGTCAACACACTGAAATAGAAGATGTCTACATAATCTTGAAATTGTTGTCCATAAATATATTGTATAACAAATTATGAATATTATATTAGTATATATATTATTACATATATATTAGTTTTTTCTATTATCATAAAATACATTGTGATAAGTTTTAGACCTTTGTATCTCATACTATTATATTACCATAAAACACAATATTGTATGTATGATATTACTCTATTATTTCTCATTGGTCCTTATATTAAATAAGTGGTGTATATATCTTTTACTAATAACTAGCAATTTTTACAGGCAGTAATTATCACACAATTACTATTATTTTTGTGTGCTATTATTAACTGTAGAAATTAATTTCTAAATTAAATTGTAATAAAGAGAAAATGTTGATGCTAGAAAGCTAATGTGGTCATAATATAAATAGAATATTAACAGTATGGCTCAGGACTTTGGTCACTGAGTGGACACCAAGCAGCAACCAAGCTATCTTAAGTAATGGGGGAATACTGAAAATAAGCTCTGTGTCTATGTCACATACCTGTATACAGTTAAAAAATACTATGTAGTAATTTAGAATATTATCTATGTGTAAAATTTCCTTAATATCCAAATTTAGTCATTGTAATAGTAATTTACATAACATTGTTTTATTGTTTCATACCATCCATCCATCCTCATAAATATTTAAAATTACTAGGATTTTATATATGTATTATTATTACATTATTTCATGTTATTATTATGTACCATGTAAGTCATTACAAATATGTTTATTTTTTTTTTATAGTTACTATCAACACTGGGTGTTGTGGGTGGAGGTGTGGGAGCCTTGCTGTTTGCTCTGGAGCAATCAGTCCAAGCCTCTGGTGGTGAGGCGCACCCAGCGCCCCAGCCTTGGTCTCACAATGGCTGGTTCCAATCACTTGATCATGCTAGGTAAAGTATTTATAATTTTTATGAATGAGTATGAAATGCTGTTTCTTATACTGTTGATATACATTGGCAAGCCATAAGTGGAAGATGTCAAGATGATGATGAAATTGGATCATTATATCTATTTTGGTAATCAGGAATCAACTATAATATTTTCCCTTGAAGACTGTGTAAGTTAACCTTACCCAGTACTTTAACCTACTAGTCCATATTAGGAATATGTACAGTATATACAATTATAGATTGCTTTTAATATCTTATTTATTGTATTTTAAAATGATCAATGCATGATCTGTTGCTTTACATCACACACAATTGTACCGATCTGGTCACTTAAGATCTTCACTAATTTAAAAATATTTTCCTCATTTTTATCATCAAAATAATTTTGCCCTGAGTAGTGTCTTTCTATGGGAATAAATTTTTATTCCACCAGCTCCACGCTAAAATTGCGCTTTTTAACTTTTATGGATTTTTCGGATTATAACAGTGCAATCTGTGACAGTTGTAGAAATCAGCTCTGATGCCACATTTCGTAGTAAGATGGCTTCATCAAAACTGTTGATAAAAAATCCGACCTTTTTTAAAATTGTACGCAAAAAGAAGTGTTACACTATGTCGAGTGTCACTCGACAGTGGAGCTGATGGAACAAAATCAATGTCGAGTGACACTCGACATTGGAGTGGGAAGGGATAATTATCGCCCTTTATCATAATTGTTATCTTGATTATCATATTTCGGATGTTTACTACTTACATAATTAAAATTCGTTTGGGCTCGGAAGTTGAACTATATTCTAAGTTCCTAGGGTTTTCTATCTAGTGAGGATTGTAAGTAATCCTATTTATTCATTATTTCAGAGAGACATTACAAATACCAAGTATTTTTTAACTTTACAATGTCAGATATTTTATACTTCTAATTTTAACGCCGTAATAATACATAGAAGGATATAAATATTCATGACTTACCTCATGAATATTTGTGTCGATATGAATGAAAGAATATATAAATTGAACCTTATCTCAATTAAGTAAATATAGTAATCTATGTATCTTTACGTAGTATAAAATTAAATCGCTTTCAATGTCTGTTCGTTTAGATCTTTTATACTACGCGACGGATTTTAATGCAGTTTTTTGGAATAGATAGAGTGATTCAAGAGGAAAGTTAGTATGTATAATACGTGTATACCTGTGCGGAACCGGGGCGGGTAGCTAGTCAGTATATAAGATACAGTTATTTAATAAGTAAAGGTACGGAATTGTTTGATTTAATAATTTCAACATCTATTATCTACACTACTACTAGATTGAGTTGTCTACAAATGTTTAAATTTTTACTCACCCTACGCCTCCATATTTTTTATGTACTGTATAACAATACTGTAAAACTAATTTTCTATAACATTTTTATTCATTGGCAAAGTTTTCATATTCCCTTGTAAAAAATCTTTGGGTATAAAAACAGTAACAATAACTGTTATTTCTAGTTTTCCTTCTACTGTATTGATTTGCTTGTGTTTTTTATACCTGCTTGGGTCGTACAACATTATGGCGATGGTAAGAAGAATTAATTAATTAATAATATATAAGAGTCCAACATGATCAAAGCGTGTACTCCAGTACTAGGAAACTGATAGCCATATTATTTGTTTTAGTAAGTAAAAGGACCAAGACCAACACAAGCAAACTAAATATAAATATTTGTAATGTCCTGGAAACATATAGACTTAGACAATAACGCAGTTTATCACGTGAATGGGAAACTATGTATATCACACCAGATCTATTATGGAGTAGGTAGAGGCATCTAGTAAGTATAAATGTATTTTTTTTTGTATGCAGTATTCGCCGCGGTTACGAGGTGTACAAACAGGTGTGCAAAGCATGCCACTCGTTGCAATACATTGCATTCCGAAACCTTGTCGATGTCACCCATAGCGAAGAGGCTGCCAAAGCTGAGGCGGCTGAGGTAAGTTAAAATATTACATAATGTTTTTTTTATCACTAACCCTAGCGTCCAAGTCGGCTATCTGTTTCAGTAGACAGGAACTAGCAAAAAAACTCAAGTGTTAAAATGTAATTCTTATTGTTTTTTTTTTCATACTACTATGGTGGCAAACAAGCATGCGGCCCATTTGATGGTAAATGGTTACCGTAGCCTATGGACGCCTGAAACAGCAGGGGTGTCAAATGCGCGTTGCCGACCCTTAAGAAACCTTAATAGTTTGTTTTGTCAGTCTTTAAATTAAAATATATTCTGATATATTTTTTTACCCTGGACAATTCACACAGTGCCATATAGTTCCAAGCTAAGAGCTTGTGTTATGGGTACTAGATAACTGATTGCATTTATATACATTTTAATTAGTTTCATATATAAAAAAATCCTCAGTTAAGTAAGAAAAAATGACTATAAACTCTGTGTTAAATTTTTCTGTCATTATTTTCGTTTAGTGCGGCATTCCATAAAATAATGTAGTAATCAAATAATATATGTCTGGTTATACAAGTTATTTAATATATAAAAAATCCCGTGTCCGAGGAACTAAGACCATACACGGTAGTGTCCAAAATAATAGTTTCGTATTAAAATGTTTGAATTTATTTAATTCATTCAATATCTTAACTAAATATCATAATCATACATTCAAAATATCTTTCAGTATCATTGAAGAATTTAATGACCACTCCCATAAAAGAACTATTAACATTATCTAATCTATATTTAAGAACTGCATTAGCTTTACTTGAACATTCATCATCTTTTATTAAAATTACTATTTGAAATTAAGGACACATTGAATGAGAGTGTTAATGTCTCCAATTCGGTATTCGAAATGGCCAGTAAGGACTCTATCTTCATGCCAAATGCGTAGACAGGGAGAAACACGGGACATTGACTTCTGTCCTTATACACAATTTTTGTTTCATTAGCATTTACTACTTGGCTCATTCATGTACTCTGGAACCTACCAAAGACTAGTAATTCCTACATTAGACATTTATATAAGTTATAATATTTGTTTTCTAGGTCATGATTAGAGATGGTCCTGATGAAGAAGGCAACTACTTCGAGAGGCCTGGAAAACTGTCCGACTACTTCCCGTCTCCGTATCCTAATGAGAATGCCGCGCGTGCAGCCAATAACGGTAACGATACTCTTAGATTCTATTCAATACGAAAGAAAAAGCAAATATAATTTTAAAACTTTACAGTTTAGAAGTGTATTTGCCTTCATAATGTTGGCTGCAAGTTGATTAGGTATTTAAAAAATATATATATATTAACATTATTTTGCGTATTTATATGATAGTGTTCGAAAATTAAAGTAATAGGGGTTGAATACAATCCCTATAGAAATTAAATTAAGATAAATGTATTGATGGATTATGTGAAAGTGGATATGATTAAAGGAGAATATGACGGCCGGTCGGGATCAGTGGAAGAGGATGATATACTGCACTGACCCCAATTAATGGGATAAAGGCTAGGCATCAAAATGGTAAAGATGAATACAGTCCCTATAGTAATTCTACTAAGATAAATCTATTGATGAATAATTAGAAGAAATATGCCTATTATTTAAATCTATAATAGGTATACAATTAGCTTATACTTACAGGTGTAAGTAGCGTATTTTAACACACTCCTTAGCACTTTATGTATGTATAATATAGCCTCAATGAAATAAATATTTACAGGTGCATACCCGCCGGATTTATCTTTGATTGTTTCTGGACGTAAGGGTGGTGAGGACTATATTTTCGCACTTCTCACTGGCTACATGGACGCACCTGCTGGTGTCATCCTCCGTGAGGGACAAAACTATAACCCATACTTCCCAGGTGGTGCCATTTCTATGGCGCAAGTACTATTTAATGAGGTGAGATGTCTTCTTCACTATTTGTTTATGAAAACAACTGCCATTTATAGTTATTACATGGCAATAATATATTTATATATCTATTATATATTTTTACATATATGTACATCTACATTATTATAATTCCTACTCTCTTTCCATTGTCCTTCATTTGTACTTCCTTTCACATAAAACATTCATTGATAAATAGAACTTATATTTAACTAGTTATGTATTGAATGATTAAATATTCAATACAATACATAAATTGTGCAATGCCATAGTAAATTTATAGAAAAAATGTAGAACTTATTTAGTACCACAGAAATACCTACGCCAGTGGCACTCAATGAGGAAGTAGCCATTATTATTGCTAAAAGTTGCATATAGATGGCGTGATTGGTATCGATGGAATTCTTCATAGTTTTGCAAACGTTTTAAAAAACAAAACTGTGTTTTCAAAAATGTTTAATCAATTTTTAAAAAGTTATATATACATGTTAAAATGAAATAATGCGTTTAGAAAAGTAATTTTCATATATTTACTCATTTTGTTATTTTCCAGTACTTAATTACACTTTAATCAGTGCTAATATGGGGCTCAATGTTTTCAAAATGCTTTCATAGATGGCATTGTCGTCATTTGTATCGGCCTAATTAAATGTCTTTTTTATATTTTCCAATAATAAGCACTTAATATATTATTATTGTAAATTAAACATATAAAAATTTTTTAAGTAAATTAAAAATAGCCGAACAAGCAAGTAATAATATTTCCAATAATACTTATGTATGAAGTGTTGTCATATTATAAATAAATACATGTATTATCGATTTTTTTTAATAATCGATAACAGGATTTTATTACGCATTATTCGATGATGCTTTTAATGAGTCGTTGTGAACAGTAAATTTTCATTATTTTGTATTATAGCAGTGTTCCGTTTCAAAGAACGGAATATAGTAGTACATTATTAGTGTCGTTGGTTATTTGCATTTGTACTGAAAAATCGATTACATAATAATTTAAAATATCGAGTACGAATCGTAGTTGTCTTCGAATACTGGCAACTGGTAAGATTAAATTAGTATTTAAAAAAAGAGAGAAATCGATCCTAATTCGAATACCATAAAGTTGATTTTCCTTTCTCATTAATATCATAGCAGTTTGTTTTTAACTTGCGTATGACTCTGTGGTATGATGTTTAACGTGTATTGTTATTTATTTATTTATTTATTTATTTACTTAATACAGAAATTATTATTAATGTAAATGTATGCAACATTTCAAAAATTATATTTTAATGTAGGTACATACATTTCTTTCATACATTTCATACATGTCAAAAATTATCTTTTAATGTAGGTACATACATTTCTTTCATACATTTCAAAAATGAACTTTTTATGTAGGTACATACATTTTTTTCATACATCTCATACATTTCAAAAATTATATTTTAATGTAGGGACATACATTTCATAAATGTCAAAAATTATCTTCTAATGTAGGTACATACATTACTTTCATACATTTCAAAAATTATATTTTAATGTAGGTACATATATTTCTTTCATACATTTCATACATGTCAAAAATTATCTTTTAATGTAGGTACATACATTTCTTTCATACATTTCATACATGTCAAAAATTATCTTTTAATGTAGGTACATACATTTCTTTCATACATTTCATACATTTCAAAAATGAACTTTTTATGTAGGTACATACATTTTTTTCATACATCTCATACATTTCAAAAATTATATTTTAATGTAGGGACATACATTTCATAAATGTCAAAAATTATCTACTAATGTAGGTACATACATTACTTTCATACATGTCAAAAATTATCTTTTAATGTAGGTACATACATTTCTTTCATACATTTCATACATTTCAAAAATGAACTTGTTATGTAGGTACATACATTTTTTTCATACATCTCATACATTTCAAAAATTATATTTTAATGTAGGGACATACATTTCATAAATGTCAAAAATTATCTTCTAATGTAGGTACATACATTACTTTCATACATTTCAAAAATTATATTTTAATGTAGGTACATACATTTCTTTCATACATTTCATACATGTCAAAAATTATCTTTTAATGTAGGTACATACATTTCTTTCATACATTTCATACATTTCAAAAATTATATTTTAATGTAGGTACATACATTTCTTTCATACATTTCATACATGTCAAAAATTATCTTTTAAAGTAGGTACATACATTTCATACATTTCAAAAAGTATCTTTTAATGTAGGTACATAACACCCCATGTCAGACCCCTTGTATTTGGAAGAAACTTAAAAATAATGCCAAAAATATTAGATGAATATATTTTTAATACGAATATTGTTTTACTTTTGTTCATCAACTTTATCCCTCACTAACAATACTAGTAGTAGTACATAACCTGGTTTATACCGCTAAAGATATTGAAAGATATACGAGTAATTCAGAATGTTTGGCGTGAAAGCGAGACAAATAGACAGACTGAGTTACTTTAGCATTTATAATATTTTTAAGAATATCGCTATTAAAAATAGGGGTTGGTGAAAGACGGGTGAAAATTTAGGCGTGTATATATTTTCAATGTAACATTATAAATAAAAAAAAAATTGTCCATAATACAAAAAAATATTTTTTCGGGGTAGGCCACCCCTATGACTTAGGGGTATAAAAAATAGATAACAACCCTACCTCAGACCTGGCAAGTATACATATCAATTTTCATCATGGGAGAAATATGGCAACTAACACTGTGATACAAAATTTATATATTGTAATACACTACCTCTAAGTAGATATATATATATAGCGGCGCACCCGGCGGTAGCCTCGCGCTGTTGGCTCGTTGCTAAGCAACGGATACCCCGGTAGCGGTTGGGCAACGGGAGGCCGGCGGCAGTTGGTCGTTGAATACCGCACGCAGCGCAATAGTCTTACAACTTATTTTAATTATTTTTATGACGATCCAACAATATAAGATATAGCGGAATTCTCATTAGGTAAAAGAGGGGTACATCGTAGAATACATGAGGTATATACCAGTAAATTAATTGTAGCTAAAATCAGTCTCATACATATAACGATTGAAATAAAAAAACGTATAGCCCGATTTTGATACGTACGAGTATAAACGTATCAAAATCAGGCTATACGTATAGCGCAGACGCGTTACAACATATCAAAAAAATAGGCATGGAATGTAAAATAAACCATAACATAATAGGTATATACATTGGCACATAAGCCATATCTGCAGAGTGTCGGCTAACGATATTATACCTACACATTTACATTGAATCTTGAATCGTCCCTAATGAGGTACACGATACAGTAACCTACATATCTATTATATACATATCTTTGCAAAACAGATGTCATGTAGCTGAATTGACTGCCATCTATTTTCATGCTTTGTTACTAAGCACCCACTAGTAATCCGAACTGCTTCAGATCTAGCGACATCTAGCGGCTACGGTGGCGAAATAAAATAGCCCGAAGAATAGCCCGAGTTAGGAAGGAACCATTTTCTTGTATGGGATGGGGTATCTGTATGTAATATTATGTTATCTGTGCCTACGCCCATCAGGACTAACACGGTAACAAACTATGATTTACAATTATAAACAATATCATAAACTATTATGAAAAATAGATAATTCAGAACATGGTGGCCTGACTGGTTTTGGCCTAAAAGATATTGCTAACAATGAAGTTAATAGTCCCTACTTATTAGGCTTATCTTCTTTACATAAGATTACTTTAATATGAGTAGCAAAGACAAAGGAATGCCAAAAGCGACAGTCAGTGTAACCCTTTTGCTTTTTTTAATTTCAGGCGGCAGAATATACTGACGGCACACCGGCGACCGCCTCTCAACTGGCGAAGGATGTGGCCACCTTCCTGCGCTGGTGTTCGGAACCTGAGTTGGATGACAGGCGGCAGATGACCATCAAGGTTATTGGCATGTTCTCTTTGATCGCCGCAGTCGTTTACTACTACAAGCGACACAAGTGGACTACAATGAAGTCCAGAAAACTAGCCTACAAACCCGTTTCTAAGAAATAAACGCTGCCATCAATTATACAGTAGTATAAAACAAACGTTTTAGACAATTTTTTTCGATAGGCACAGTAACATGTTATTTGTTTATAATTAAATTAATTTATTTTATATATCATCATGTTTATTTCTTCCCTCGCTGATCAGTCAGGGATATCGCTTCGCATTCTCTGTTACCATATTAAACTAATGAGATCGTTACGCCTGGCTCGGGTTCATTAGCAAACGATTCAATTTATAGTGTATAATGTATTTTTATTGAGGAGATTGTTCACCGTCGTACGGTTGATTGTAATTTGTAGCACAGACAACTTAATAATATATAGGTGATCAATTGGAAAACTCGTGCTTGTGATGTTTCATGGAAGATATTACTGTGAATCAGTGTACAGTTGAATAAATGAGTTATTGAAAATCGATTTTTATTCGTGTTTTAATATTACAACCTAAAAATTGTATGGTCCTTACAACTAATACATATAAAATTGAGAAAGCACACAGTGCCCTCGAGTAAAAACTGAACGAAATTAGTTTTGCCTATAAGGTAGTACGACGTTTGCATCAATCGCTAAAACTATTATTTGCAAAAAAATCAAACGTCAAGCACTGACCTATATGACTCGTAAGTTTTTCATCCTGTTTAAAAATAAGAATATCTTCTACAAAGCAAAAATATTAGCCGCCACAAACATATTTATTTTAATATAACGCAACCCTAAGTCACTGTAGACGTTTGACAACCCAACGTCAAAGTCAAACTAATGTCATTTCAATGTAATTTCTGACAGTTGCAAAATATCTTTTAGGAATTGAAAATAATAAACATTATTTTTTATTTAATTTCACTTTAAAGATACTGTAATAATCTCAAATATAACCTAAAATCTATTCAATATCTAATGAGACTTCGATTTGCTTAACCCTAAGTAAATTTATTCGACACTTGCTCTCCTGAAAATAAAACGTAATTTTTGCTTACAAATATTGTACTTGCTCATATGATAATGGACATCTAATTTAAAGGAACATTAGAAATGAATGCAATTGTTGGTCTATGCCATTTCTGCGAAGCTCATGGACCACGACCTTTATTTTGCACCTTTACAACTCACGACGAGAACAACATTACCGAATCTTCGAAGACTACAATACAATGCAGTGGATGTAATTCTCTTGGTCCTGAAATCGTATTTGTATCAAGAAATGATGATGGAACTATATTCTGCAGTAGGGAGTCCGTCCCTAATCCTGATGTAACAGAGTTTTTACGCCAAGCAGCGATTAGAAGCATAACTTGTGAAGTAAGTCTTAAATTTGTACCTATAGTCCTAATAGTAATAAGAAATACTAAAAGTTCAAAATGAAGTATAAGAGTTAGATAATCTACTTATATTAGTAATAATATTTCCATGCCTAAATGTCTGGAAATTAAAATTTAAAGTTTTCTGAAATCATTAATCTAATATTTTGATTTTCAGAAATAATTACAGTAATTGTAATTTTAGTGACAAGTTTTTGCCTATGTTCTTCTCCAAAGTTCTATTTACCTCTATAACAAAACATCATTGTACATTATAGGTATAAAAATTCAGAGAGAGCTGTTTTTATACCACAACAGTGGCAAACAAGCATAATAAAATTTAATTGTAAACAGTTTAATTGTACCATACCCTGACATAGTTACTTTTGCATTTAAAATACCTATTTATTGCTAAAAATAATTCTATATATACTAAAGTGTTGATTTTAATAGGTGAGCTGGAGCAAAGAAGGTGGAGTAGTCTATTTCAATGACACAAGGGGTCATGTACTCAGTCACATGTTCCAAGTCAAGGACACACATGCTAGGGGCCTCAAACGCTGGTTTTCCATAGTTGTTCTAATGAAAGACAAGATGCTACTACTCAATGTCATGCCAGTGCTATCTGAACATATGCAGGTATTAACTATACTGTTATAGATAGATAGATAGATAGATAAAAATCTTTATTCGTATCCCGATAACAAAGATAGTACAAACAAAATTCAAATAACACATAAGAACAGTAAATAATTATAAAAAAAAAAATACAACACATAATACTTTAACTTCCACATAAAATAAAAAACATAAAATAAACATTAAAATATATATTAGGTGCCACAGGGATACGAAAGGGTTGAGCTACTCAGTGAACAATTTGCTCAGCGAGCAAAACACTGATTTTCAGTAGCAGCCCAGTGGTGGTGCGATCGCGTGCAGCGACATATTCACTCAACAATCTTAATGTTACCAAAATTTAAATTAAACTAATTCTTAATAAAAATAATAGAAGAAAAAAATAATAAAATAAATAAATCAAAATCAAAAAAACATGTAATAATAATATAAAGTTCTTGTATCACAATGTTAGTTACCATACTCCTCTAACGGCTTGACTGATTTTTATGAAATAAAAGGCAGTCCACACCAAATTTTTTTTTTTAATTTTATATAATGTAGCCTTCAAAAATACATACAACCCTAAATTTTCACCCTTCTATAACCAACCCCTATTTTTATTAGTGTTTTAATTTATATGGTAAAACGATGTTTTGTCAGCTTGTAAAGTATAAATATTTAAATTTTCCTAATTACTTAAAGTGCAAACATATTGTTGAAAGAAATGACCATACTGGTAATTAATTCCAATATCTCTATTTAGCCTAAAATCTATTGATTAGTACCATAAAATAATGTTACCCAGCTCTCAATAAATTTATTAAGTGTAATTTTATAAAAACATTGTTTTTAGAAAATATCTAAAGAGTTGCAAGAATTAGCTGAAGTGGTATACAATGATGAACAGAAAGTGTGTTCTCAGAGAGCACTCAGATTAAAGACTGGCAGAAATGATTTTGGACAATCAAGATCACTTTTACAATTAACAGGTACGTATATTATTTTATACTGTTTTCAGAAAAAAACATTTTTTATGGAACTATATTATTGTAGGCATTATTATTAATTGTTCCGGACCACCGCTTAAAGATTATATATAGTCATAGTTTGTAGAAATAAGTTCGATTAGTGTTCGCGACTATTGTAAATATTTGATTATTGTTAGCTTAATAAAATTTATAATTGTAGTAGTTTCAATTCCCTAATAGGTAAAAATAATTGTATTGTAAAGTTTAAATTAATAAATAAAGGAGCGAGTAGAGGTGGTCTTTTCGCGCTCTCCGTCCCGCTCGCACCTATGTGCGCAACACAATCGTTACCTAGTACGTGACACGGTGCGAGCGGGCGGAGTATAAATATAGGTGCCGAACGCGGCACAATTCATTCCGCTTCCATCGCTAGTACAGACCACCGAACTCTGCTCGAGAGGATAATTACACTTGTCTTTCTTGTTTCCACCTGCACCCGCAACCTTACAAACAAGTACGGGGAATAGACACCCGTACATCTGGTCCTTCGAGAAGCCGGATTGTTGGAAGAAGAAAGCAAGACCATCTGGTCCTTCGAGAAGCCGGATTGTTGGAAGAAGAAAGCAAGACCATCTGGTCCTTCGAGAAGCCGGATTGTTGGAAGAAGAAAGCAAGACCATCTGGTCCTTCGAGAAGCCGGATTGTTGGAAGAAGAAAGCAAGACCATCTGGTCCTTCGAGAAGCCGGATTGTTGGAAGAAGAAAGCAAGACCATCTGGTCCTTCGAGAAGCCGGATTGTTGGAAGAAGAAAGCAAGACCATCTGGTCCTTCGAGAAGCCGGATTGTTGGAAGAAGAAAGCAAGACTGCACAGAGATCAAGATCACAGATGCCAACAACAAGAAGCCAAAGAACAGCCATGGAAGCTCAATCAAACGAAGAAAACACCGCCGCCGTCACGTCGCCTGTCGCCGCTACGCCGACCGTCGCCGCCACTACGTCGCCTGCTGCCGCCACTACGTCGACCACCACGACGTACACGTCCTCGGAACCTACTGCTACCACGGAGACTTCCGCGGAGACTACCACAACAATTCCAAGGGCGCCGCGCACCACAGCTTCAAAAAAGAAGAAAGAATTGGCTAAAGCCAGAGAAGAATTGCTACGCAAGGAGGTAGAACTGGCCGCCGCACGCGTCGCAGCATTGGAGGCAGACACGGACGACGAAGAGGAGGACGAAAATGAAGAGGACGCCGCCACATTAAGAAGAGAGAGGACTACGGACTGGATTCGCCGGACGAGCACATTGGCACTCACGATGGAGCCGCACACAGAGAGGACGACCGCCGACTTGCATCAGGGGATTAATATCTCATCGATACCCGCCGGAGAGGGAACGAAAGCGCCGCAGCCGCAGCCGTGCAGCGACGCATTCCGACGGGACCATGCAAGGCACAACGGTCCGAGGGAAGACTCCATAGCACCGATGATGCCAACGAAGAAAGAAGAGGATTCACTGAAGGGGGGCATCGACTATAAGGAATTGGCGACTGCAATGACTATGGCAGCTCGCGCAATTCAGCCCTCCACAGTGCCGCGAGTCACAGAACTACCACCCTTCAACGGCGCGTCAAGCGAATGGCTGCCCTGGAAGATGGCCTACGAAGAGTCTGCGGGACAGCTGACCGAGCAAGAAAACTTGGGTAGATTACGTCGGTGTATAAAGGGTGCGGCCAAAGAGGCTGCACACTGTCTTTTCGTTGGGGATACGTCTGCAGCAGAAGTAATACAATTACTTGCTACGAGGTTCGGCCGTCCAGGAGCACTCGTGATGGCCGAGATGAATAAACTTCGTGCGCTGCCGCGGCTGTCAGACAAACCCAAGGACATCTGTCTATTCGCATCCAGAATAGCCAATGTCACTGCAACAATTCAAGCCCTGAAGAAGAACCACTATTTGTACAACGAAGAAGTGACAAGATCCATTACGGAGAAGATGCCTTCTGCGCTACGATTCAAATACTACGACTTTGTAGCAGAACAGCCAGCTGATCAACCGGACCTGATAACGCTCTCCAAGTTCCTGCAAATCACCGCAGCCAGGTGCGGTGACTTCGCACCCGCCGAAATAATAGTAAATGAAGACCGGCGGGAGCCAGCAACGAAGAGAAGCGTGAAAACATACATCACGCAGGAGAAACCGACTTCACCGCCGTGTCCGACGTGCAACAGGGAGGGACACGCACCACCCGACTGCATCACTGTGAAGAACGCCGAGCCACAAGCAAGATGGGAGATAGCAAAAAAACACAGGCTATGTTTCCGTTGCCTGAGGATAAAAAGATTTCGTCACAACTGCAAGACGAAGAGATGCAACGTTGGTGGGTGTACACACCTACATCACCCACTCCTGCACGTCGACACCATAGAGAAGAAGGACAGCGAGCCCTCCGATGATAAAGCAGCCGCAGTCGTCGCGTCTGCGAGAGAAGATAAGAAGATCGCATTCCTCAAGATAGTGCCGATACAAGTGATCGGTCCCAAAGGAACGTGCGATACATACGCACTCCTGGACGACGGCGCAACGTGCACCATCATCGAAGAAGCAACAGCGAAGCAAATCGGCGCCACTGGCCCTCCCGCACCCTTCTACATAGAGGCCGTGGCCGGGACACGCATAAACGCCGATGAATCGAAGCTTGTCCACTTCACAATACGGGGACGAAGATCGGAAGATCATGCCGTGTCTGCGCGAACCATGAAGAAACTACTGTTATCTCCACAAACAGTATCACGCAGCGCAATAGAAGACTGTCCACACTTGTACGATATAATAGATCAGCTGACATATGAAGAAGGTCAACCGACGGTTCTGCTGGGTCAAGACAACTGGCATTTGCTGCTCGCACATGAAGTCAGAAGAGGCAATAAGACACAACCGGTCGCATCACTCACCGACCTGGGTTGGGTGTTGCACGGCACGGGAGCGGCGAGAGCGAGACAGCAAGTGCACAGAATCAGTCACTTAGTCGACGGGCAAGAAAATGAAGAATCCATAGAGCGATTAATGAAAGAACACTTCGCTCTCGAATCACTGGGCGTCACACCGAAGCGCTCATACAATGAAGAGGAACAACGCGCGCTGAAAATATTGCAAGAAAAAACTCGCCCGTTACCGGCGGGAGGCTACGAGACCGCGTTGCTATGGAAACGCGACAACGCAACGCCGCCGGCTAACTACGACTCAGCAATGCGACGCCTCGAGTTAATTGAGAAAAAACTCGACAAGAATGAAGACATGAAGAACAGATATAAACAGCAAATTACCACGCTGTTAGAAAGGGGATATGCAGAAATCGCCCCACCGGTGAAGACTGAACGAGTATGGTACCTGCCACACTTCGCTGTCATCAACCCACAGAAACCGGACAAGCTGCGCATCGTGCACGACGCCGCCGCCAAGACAAGGGGCATTAGTCTCAACGACATGCTGCTGTCGGGACCCGACCTACTCCAATCACTACCGGGGGTCCTCATGAGGTTCCGACAGCGCCGTGTGGCGGTCACAGCGGACATCAAGGATATGTTCATGCGTGTCACAATACGAGAAGAAGACCGAGACATGCAACGGTTTCTATGGAGAGGAGATCGACGCCAGGGCCCAGCTGTCGAATATAGGATGAAGAGCGTCATCTTCGGGGCCACTTCGTCACCATGCTCGGCGATATACATGAAGAACAAGAACGCCGAACTACATAAAGAAGAGTTCCCGGAGGCGGCTGCAGCGGTGGTTGTCAATCACTATGTTGACGACTACCTCACTAGCTTCGACACTGAAGAGCAAGCCGTACGAATCTCAAGCGAGGTCGCCTACATCCACAGCCGGGCGAACTACTATCTTCAGCGCTGGGCATCGAACTCGCGCCATGTACGAGAAGAGTTCTCACATAGAAATGAAGAGAACATGGTGCAACTCGACGCTGAGAAGATACTGGGAATGGTGTGGCGGCCTGAGGAAGACAGTCTCGGGTTCAACTTCAACGGGAACAAACTTCCGTTACACATCATACGAGACGAACGCACCCCAACGAAGAGAGAAGCCCTCCGCGCCGTTATGTCGCTGTTCGACCCATTGGGCCTGGCCACACCCGTCACAATACAAGCCAAGAAGATATTACAAGAAACGTGGCGCACGGGTATCGGCTGGGACACCGAACTGCAAGAACGGGAAGCAGCAGCGTGGCGGAGCTGGATATCGCACGCACAGCAGTTACCCCACTTGGTAATACCACGGTGTTACCCCGGTGTGGCGACGGCACATACGACGGAGCTTCACACATTCGTCGACGCGAGCTCAGATGCATACGCCTGTGTCGTATACTGGCGGGCCGTATGCGTGACCGGCGAGGTGCGTGTGTCACTCATCGCAGCCAAGGGAAGAGTGGCCCCTTTGAACAAGGTCACCACTATACCACGTCTGGAGCTGCAAGCGGCCGTACTAGGGAGCCGCCTGTCACGCACGGCGGTCGAAGAACACGATCTGAAACCTGCCCGTCGTGTCTACTGGTCGGATTCGCGTACCGTACTGTCTTGGTTACGCACCGGGCCGCGTGCATTCAAGCCCTTCGTCGCTCACCGAGTCGCTGAAATTATGGAAGATACGAAAACGAACGAGTGGAGATGGGTGCCGACGGCCGACAACGTCGCGGATGATGCCACACGCGACGTACCACACCACTTCACTTCAACACACAGATGGTTCCGGGGGCCGCAATTTCTATATCGACCAGAAGAAGAGTGGTCTCATGAAGACGATTCCCACCAGACGGAAAATACAAGCGAAGAGCGCGCCCACACAATACAGCTACAACACCGGCGGGAGCCCCGAGCTAAACACGGAGTCATCAAGTTAGAAGACTTGGTGCTGGTGGCGGACGGCAACCTGCCTCGGAACTCCTGGCCGCGCGGCGTGGTGGTGGCTACGTATCCGGGACCGGATGGTGAAATACGGGCGGTCGACGTG